TTCTTCATCAGTCATGCTCTTTATTAAGGACGTCATTTATATCTTTAGTGATTCCCCCCCCAACCCACTCAATCACTGACTCTTCAGATATCTTCTGGGGGGAGATGGATGGAGCATGCTAATCATCTTTCAGCCCTTTTAATGACATTTTGAATTTGTGATCCGAGCTTGACACAAAGGTTATCCGTTATGGGTTCAACAGTTACGCCGTAAAACGGTAACATAATGGTTTGGAGCTGTGCAGAGGGAAGGATAGTGGAAGACTACAGAGAAGGTTGGTGGATGCAGTGAAGGAGGAAATGCAGAGGGTTGGTGCGACAGAGGATGCTGGGGATGGGCTGAGATGATCTGCTGTGGCGACCCCGAAAGAAAGACGAGGTTTTCAAAGATTAATCTCGCTGTTAATTCAGCTCTATCGCCTTTACATACCGTGATGGCCAAACCCATGACTGCACTCTAAAAGTCGGTAACTCTGATGTACAATAACACACTTCAGTTTGCAGTAAGTTTATTGTTTGTTTGGATACATTTGTTTGTAAGCGCACACATTTAGTTTTATGTATTTACACCAATTTATTTCTGATTCTTGGTTTAATCTTTGTCTGGCCTCTCTCACCGATCGTGGCAGGTAAGAAACAGGTAAAGGAAACAAAAGGTGGCGTTTAAAGCAGTGAAACGCGTAGAGGGGATGATTGGACCGCACCGCCACTTCCTGCTGAAGGGGGAGAACGTGTGTTTTCTTTAGTTAAATGTTTGAGTTTAGGGTTTAGTTTTGATTTTCTTCTTTGGTGTTTAGTTTATTATTAAACTGGACTGTGCTGCATCGTTTTGTGGTTTGTTTACTTACTCCTGTTGTGTCATAGTGGTCATTTCCTGTTTAGGTCACTCATGTTTGTTGAGGTCACAGTTCACTGTTTCTTTGACTTCTTTCATGAGCTCAACATTTACTGTTTGTAAATAAATGAAAACCCATTTTCAGATCATTCCTGTGACTCCTGCTTTTTCAGCTCGGTCCATCACACATACACAAACTTTTCTTTTTCAGGTGAGCACCCACGGATACTCTCAGAATCAAATCTTGGTGTGGAAATATCCAGCTCTCACTCAGGTGGCCAAGCTGACAGGACACTCCTACCGAGTGCTCTACCTGGTCAGTCTGGGGTTTTTCTCCACTGATAATATAAATGGCCTGTATTTATATAGTGCTTTACTTTAAATAATTATTGTTGTTTATTGTTTATTATTTAAACATTATTGAGATAAAATTCGAATGACTTGTTGTACTCTTTAGGCCATGTCTCCAGACGGCGAGGCGATTGTGACGGGAGCTGGAGACGAGACTTTACGCTTCTGGAACGTTTTCAATAAAACGCGCTCGACAAAGGTGAGAAAGCATCGACAACAAACCCCGCCCATTTTAACACCTGCTGAAAACATTAACCAAGTTTCTTCATTTTTTGTTTCAGGAATCTGTATCAGTTTTAAATCTCTTCAAGAGGATACGGTGACTTTAAGCACCTTTTTTAAAAGAAATAAAATCCTGCCATCATCGGCGGATAGCTCAGCCGCCTGGTGCTAAAGACATGAAGTACAATCAGAGGCTTATTGTGAGTTTTCTTTTCACAAAGGGAATGACAGCAACACTTAGTTTTATTTTTTAAAATTGTGTGAAAAATTCTTTTGCACCTGCTGTGAGTTTATTATTTTTATTATATGCTTAAAAAATGTAAAAGTGGGTTTTTTTCTTTTTTCTTTTTTGTCAGTAT